GCAAACAGTTAACTAAAGAATTACATTCCTATGTGTACACGAGGCATTCCTAATTAAAAATATAGATTTATGACTAAATAATTACTGTCCAAAATAGTGTCTTTTGACTCTGTCACACAAGCTAAAGAGGGCTAGTAATATGATAATAAATGTAAGTGTTTTTTAATCATTACTAACAATACTGTAACTGTAATTTATTAAAAAATTCAATTGGAATTAGTAAATTACTATTATTTTCAGATGAGATGACGTGTAATAAGGCAACGAAAGCTGCAGTAAAAGAGTAAATGGTTTGAACCTAGGTGTTGAAGGCTAGTGTGGAATGTGATTGCCCGGGTGAGTGTAGTCTTGAGAAAGACTTTAATTGTTGGTGGTGACTGATGTTTTGACAACTGAGCGGAAGTCATCTTCAGAGTCCAGTGAGAAAAAGAGACACAGTTAATGGTATTTATGAATATTAAAACATAATCTTTGTAGTTCTCTGACCTGTGGAGGGTAGAGATCTAGTGTACATTCAATACAAGATGTCATCCCTGGAATAATGATTCTTGCATTCCCCTTAAAACCTGGAATAGAAAAAAGGGTTAAATAAATGAAAACATTAAAGATTTTGTTGGTAATCAGATGACTGTATCATGTTGATACAGAGATTATTAGATATGCCATCCATACATACCTTCAGTACCGCCATCCACCATAGGTATCACTGAGCTCTGGTCTAGGTTCCCATCATCATCATACTCCAGAAGACTCATCTTGAGAAAGAATTAGAAACACACAAAGAAACCTTAAGAATAAGATTTTCAAATGATAACAATTTACAAATTGTAGATTTGTAGGTAGGTTTTCAGTGGATTTTTGGTAGGTTGTAGTAGGTTGTTGGCAGGCTGTCAGTGGATTGTCAGGTAGGTTGTCAGTCGGGTGTTGGTTGATTGTAGGTTGTTAGTAGGTTAAAGTCAGATATTGCTGCATGGTTAGGGTAGGTTTTCAGTGCATTACTGGTCAGTAGATTGTCAGTGAATTTGTGGTAGGTTGTCAGCAATTGTTGGTAGATTTTCAGTAGGTTGTCAGTAGATTG